TCCTTAACTCGTGTCCGGTGTTTCCAATTGCGTGGTTTGTATTCCACATTCCGTGCTTACTACTACTGCTACTACAATCATTTCACCACATCGCGCAGAACAGCGTGCGAACGAGACCTAGGTGTTATGGTTACGTCATCACTAAAGACCTGAGAGGACACCGATCTGATCTGTGCCAGCGCATGGAGAATTCTGGGGCCTATTCGGCGGTCTTCCAACTGGCTCACGATGGATGCTTTCAGGCTGCTGTACGCTTCCCATGTCAGACCAAGACTTGAGTATGGTGGTGCGGCGACATACCCCTGCACGGCCGGTGAGCTGGATAAGGTGGAGCGTGTGCAACGTGCTGCCAGTAGACTCGTTGTTGGACTATTCCGCTCCACTTCGTTTCCCCCCTCATCCGTCATACGCGCATTGTACTGTTCAGTCTGGATCATATTTTGTTCGGGTTGCTCACCAATCGTCTGTGGCTTTCTATTCTGCGCTTCTGTTTTACTACTCCGGTTTACGTTCTACCCGACCCTTCGTATACACTGATTAATTGTATGAAAAAGAAACTTCACTCCTTGTCTCATTCCACCCGTATCACATGCACTGTGCACGGAGCTTTAATTTTCTGACATCTTTTAAACCTGTTATTATTCCTATCATCACTACTATTGCAAGAAGAAAAGGTGCAATCCACGAGGACATTTTCCGTTCATATTTTCTCCACAATCAGCTCTGATCCCAAATGTGATATTTCTTTGTTTTACTTCTGCTTGTTTTACTGAGCACGGTTTTCCGCTCAGGTGGATATATAAGCTGGGTCCTGTTCAAACCCACGCAACACGTGTGACATGCTTTCGCTTTGCTACTGCACTTATTTTCTTGTATTGTTTAGTCGTCACATCGGCACATATTCGGTACTATCTAGTACCATGATATGCCAATAAACGTCTACGACTACCACGAATGTTTTTGTCTACCTCGGGCAACGAGATATTAGGAGGTCGCGCTATTTGAGATCCGTAAGAAGACTTATCGACAGGCCGTAAACGTTGATTAGCTTCAAGTCTACTCACCCTATCTGTGTTAGACCGTGATTCTTAAGTCAGTTGTTCGTCGGCTTTTGCGCAACGGGCCATACTTTGCCGTTGGGATGCCATGAGTTTGGACTCCTGGGGACGTCAGGCACTAATTCATACCTCCCGCAGGTAACATCTAGAATTTTCTGTTAGTTGGCAAGCAAATTATCTCTACTGGCGGGTTCCACAACTCAACCAGTAGGGGTCTAGCCCTGTGAAATCCCGCTGGTTTCGGTTTCAGTTCAGTTCGGTGCCCAAGACGTGAGGGCAGCTCACCAGGCCGTCCAGTTTCTTGCAATGGTGAGATCCAAGGATCTCCCGGTGCTGCGACAATAGGATGAAAGGATTCATCTTCAATGGTATATACGTAGAGGTGTGACTATGAGAGAACCCCCAGCCACAGCACCGCACTCCGTGGGTATTCGTGCAGTGCTGTATTGCACACTGGTCCCTCCGTTTGGAGAGTCACACCAAGAACCTTGAAGCCCCTAAGGATGAAAGATATTAAGTTTAGCAGGATACTCTGGGATTTATTGGAGAAGTGAAGACAGGAAGAGGAAGTGGGTGGATGAAGGCCATTGGGATGAAGAGAAGCGGGGAGGAAGACGGACCTCAGGAGTTTGACACGTTTTCTCTCCTCCGATGAACAAACCACCCCATAAGTTATCCAAGCAGTGTTCGAATTCAGCCACTGAGGTGGCTACTATGACTTCACTTGGCAGATTATTACAGTCATTCACGACTCTAATCGGAAAGGATGTGGCCCTCAGTCAACAATTTACCCTATCCTTTGCCAGTTGCAGTACATGCCCCCGGAGTAAGCTGGTTTCACTTATCCTCAACAGCCTCTGGGAACCAAATCCTAAGGCAGTGATCCCTTTAAGGATCTTAAAAGTCTCGATGATGTCACCTCGCCGCCTCCGTCTCTCCAATGAGAAGTAGTGCAGCACCTTCAATCCCCTCTCATACCAGCGCTCTCTTATCCCTCCAAACCAAATTGTGAAGCGCATTTAAACATTCTCTAGCACTTTGCATCTCTAACCAAGAATGGGCTCCACACCTGAACACAATATTCGAGATGTGGCCGTACAAACGCTTTATAGACGAGTAAGAGGACCTCAGGCCTCCTGGATCCTATTGCACGTCGGATCTGATACAGGGCTCCAGATGCTTTCTTTACAGCATCTCAACACTGCAACGCAGGGAGGAGTTCTGAGGCCATACTTCTCCTAAGTCTCTTGTGC